CCGGTCCGGTACGGGCGCGACACTGAGGGTTGCGATCCGTTGCCAGACACACACACACACACAAAAAAGACAAAAAAAAAAAAAATCACTTATTTTCTTTTGTACTTGAAGGAGAAAAGTTTCCTATTTGCTATTTCCCTCCTGTATGATTTCATGAATGAACCGATCTGTAGTCTTCTCCTGAGCTCCCTGTGATACCTGATTGCAGTGCAGACTGGGAAAGTGCCGTCTGTAATCAGCTGGACTTCAAAGTACTACACCTGTCCTCATTAGATTTGTTAAGCATTATGGTTTTAAAAATTGAGACACAAAGGAAGGTGTGTTTGTTAGAGGCTTTATAACATATATGATTCAACATCCTCTGTATGTTTGTCAACACTGAATTTTTATTTTTATTTACCTATTTTGTGAATAAGTAGCATTCTTAGACTCATTTTTTAAGCATGTGTCTTTACCCACCTCACTACATGCCTTACATCCATTCACTGTGAGTTTTTACTCTCTCCAGTGTCATCCAGTCAAGGGTATCAGTTCGAAACCAGGAAATCTTCCCTCACTGTCCACAGGTCAGGTAATGCTAAATGAACGGCATGTCTACTTTGGGGCTCTGTGGGCTCAGAAGCACAAGAAGATCCTGGAATGATCAGGGAGAACAGATGAGGTGATTAAATCATAGGATATGGTCTGCATGATCAGCAGCTCATGCTTATTACTAGGTTTTGAATGTGGTGCTGGACATACTTAGAACCTAAAAGTGCCTGAAGGCAATAGGCAATGGGAAGTAAGGTGGTTAGTCAAGTTTTAAGCTTTTTCATATTTCAGTGTCACCATTAAGAGCTGTGAGTAAGGTGGGCATCAAAATTTCTTAGGTTTAGAAGTAAAGAACATTTCATTTGTGTTCAGAACAGTGAGAGGCCGTTCCATGTAATGGGTACAATTCTAGGACATGGCGAGGGGATGTAGCTTCAAAGGTGCGAGCAACTCTGTAATCAAAGAAAGAAAATAGAGTTATGTGTTTCCCCTGTCCTCCAAGGGCCTGGCTGTTGAGGTCCCACACTGCAGTCCTGGAGGTCCCAGAGGCTGGGCTGGAGCGCGGGGCCTGCAGGACAGGGAGCCTGGCAGCAGCGGGAGGCTGAGCGGCTGGGCCAGGGTGGCGAGAGCCCAGACCTGAAGCTGCATGTTCCTCACATTGCTTCAGGTATGTTATTCTGTTTCTTTGGCTGTAGAAACTTAGACTATTTCATTTATCTATAATAGTTGAGATTTATTCCTAGCATGGTGTAGTTCCAAACAATGGGGAACCCTCACTTATTTTGACTTTTCTTGATGGAAGTATTTCTCAAAAGTGTTGTATATTTAATAAGGAAGATAAATTGAACATCCTTTCAATGTGTTTTTTAACTCCATTATAACCATGAAGATCTATTATTGCATTTAGTATTGGCATCTTGAAGATGCCCCCACTCCCTGTTCTTCGATGGGCTGATGTGCTCCTTTGGTTTGCTTTAGTGTTGCTGAGTGTTCTGGAAGAGAAGAGGATGGCTACAAGCAGCCTGAGACTCAAAAAGCTGAGCTGGGAGAGCACAGGCCTTGGAGTCCACAGGCCTGACATCAACTTACAGCCCGTTCATTTCCTCCAATCCCCAGAGCTGGTCTGTCCACTGTGCCGGGTTATGAGGACAAGGAAGCTGGTTGAGTACTCAGCAGAGGGGGCGTGAGACTGTGGTGGACAGTCCTGCTGCACATGCTGAATGAGAGCTTTTCCTTAGTGTGCATTTTGGGTTTTTTATTGTTCTATGACTTTGAGTCCTAATCAGTTAAGGGAATGGGTTGGCAGTTTGTTTTATTTTTTAAAAATGTTTGATAAGTGTTTTCTGGCTTTATTTTTTAAATAATATAAATTCTTGTTGGTTCTGGTTTTCTTGCACTTATTTTAGTGGTTTTGTGTTCCCAAACTTCATATTCAGTTTCATGTATTTTGAGCTTCTGTCCCTGTCAGTTGTTTGTGACCCCCAATTATTCCCAGCCACCGAGTCCTTGAGCCCCTTCAAGTGTCCTTGTCTCGGACACCCCAGCTTGCAGGTTCTGTGCTGCCTTTTCCGTTCCCCAGAGGGACTAATCCTCCCCTCTCGGGCCCTGCCACATTGAGCATTTTTTAATTTTAATTTTTTTAATTGTATATATTTATGGGGTACAGTGTGTTGTTTTAGTACATGCATATGCATGTATTGTGTAATGCTGCACTCAGCGTAGGTAGTATATATGTTACCTAAACATTTATCATTTCTTTGTGACTCAGTCTCTCTGTACCTCAGGTTCCAGTCTAAAGTGAGGATGACTGCAGTAGCACCTAAGAGGTCGTGAGGAGCAAATAAGTCAATAGATGTAAACCTGCATGCGGTAGCTTGTTTAATCCTCCCAGACACCTCATCCGGTAGGTGCTATTATCAGCCGCATTTTGCAACTGAGGAATTGGAAGTTTGCAGAGTGTAGGTCATGGTTAGAAGGGTTGGATTTGGGGGGCCGGCCTGGTGGCGCACTGCTATAGTGCGCCGCTTGGGAAGTGCAGCGGCGCTCCCGCCGAGGGTTCGGATCCCACATACAGGCCGGTTCCTGCTCACTGGCTCAGTGAGGTGCGGGAGCAACACCGAGGGTTGCGATCCCGTTGCCGGTCCCGGTCCGGTACAGGAGCAACACTGAGGGTTGCGATCCGTTGCGGGACACGGAAAAAGGAAAAAAAAAAAAATGTACAATATAATATTACTAGGTGTGGTCACTATCGAACACCAAAACTTATCCTTTATTTCTCACTGTAAGTTTGTGCAGTCATCCTGTTCCCATCCCCTCTTCACCCCTTCTTAGCCCAGCCTCTTGTAACCACTATTCTCCTCTTTACTTCTATGTGAACAGTTTTCCAGATCCCCATATAAGTGAAGTACTGCAGTATTTGTGTCTCTGTGCCTGGCGTACATCACTTTACATAATGGTCTCTGGCTTTATCCATGTTGCTGTAAGTGGCAGGGTTTTTGTTGTTGTTATTGTTGCTGTTTTAAATGTATAGCTGAATATTCTTCCATTGTGTATATGTACCACATTTCTTCATCCATTTATTTGTTGATGGATATTTAAATTAATTCCATCTCGGTATTATGAATGGTGCTTCAGTGAACATAGGTGTGCAGATACCTCCTTGACATACTGATTTCATTTATTTCAGTATATACCTAATACTGGGATTGCTAGATCTTTTTTTTTTTTTTTTCCTTTTTGTCTTTTTTCGTGACCGGCAACAGATCGCAACCCTCAGTGTCGCGCCCGTACCGGACCGGGACCGGCAACGGGATCGCAACCCTCGGTGTTGCGCCCGCACCTCGCTCAGCCAGTGAGCAGCCGGTCTGTATGTGGGATCCGAACCATCGGCGGGAGCGCCACCGTGCTCGCAAGCGGCGCACTGTAGCAGTGCGCCACCGGGCCGGCCCTGGGATTGCTAGATCTTAAGGTAGTTCTCTTTTTAAATTTTTGAGGAACCTTTATATTGTTTTCCATAATGGCTGTACTAATTTACATTCTTACCAACAGTGTATGATTGTTCTTCTTTCTCTGCATCCTAACCAACATATTATTATTATTATTATTATTATTAATTTTGGTAATATCCAGTCTAACTGGGCTTACTTGATATCTCAGTGTGGTTTTGATTTTCATTTACTTGATGTTCAGCATTTTTTCATGTACCTGTTGGCCCATTTGTCTACTTTGAAAAATGTCTATTCAGGTCTTTGGCCCATTTTTAAATCGAATAATTGGTTTACTTCCTCTTGGGTTGAGTTGCTTATACATTCTGGATATTAGCTCCTGGTCTGATGTGTAGTTTGCAAAACATTTCTCCCATTTTGTAGGTTGTCTTTTCACTTGGGTGATTGTGTCCTTTGCTGTGCAGAAGCTTTTTATTTTGATGTAATACCATTTCTTTATTTTTACTTTTGTTGCCCGTGCTATTGAAGTCTTGTTCAAAAGGCCCTGCCCATTTCAGTTTCATGAAGCATTTCCCCAAAATTTCTTCTAGTAATTTTATAGCTTTGGGTCTTAAATATAAGTCTTTAATCTATTTTTAGTTGAGTTTTGTGTATGATACAAGCCTCATTTTAATCTTCTGCATGTGGATATCCAGTTTTCTCAGCACCATTTGATGAAGAAACTACCCTTTCCCAAATGTGTCTTCTTGGCACCTTTGTCAAAAATCATTTGGCTGTAAATGCATTGATATGTTTCTCAGCTCTCTGTTTTTATTCCCATTGTTTTATGTGTCTGGTTTTGTTTTTTTATTTTATTTTTTTTTGTCCTTTTTGAGACCGGTCACACCGTGCTCAGCCAGTGAGCGCTGTGAGCACACCGGTCATCCCTATATAGGATCTGAACCCGCAGCGGGAGCGCTGCTGCACTCCCAGCACCGCACTCTCCTGAGTGCGCCATGGGCTTGGCCCTTATGTGTCTGTTTTTAGGTCACTACTGTGCTGTTTTGGTTACTATAACTTTATGGTATATTTTGAAGTCAGGTAGTATGAGCCCTCCATTGTTCTTTTTGGTCGGAATTGCTTTGGCTATTTTGGGTCTTCTGTGGTTCCATATGAATGTTAGGATTGTCTTTTCCATTTCTGTGAAGAATGACAGTGGTATTTTGATAGGGATTGTGTGGAATCCGTAGATCATTTTAGGTAGGATAGACATTTTAATGATATTAATTCTTTCAACCCATGAACACGACATATCTTTTGATTTATTTGTGTCATCTTCACTGTCTTTCATCAGTGTTTTACAGTTTTCGTTGCAGACGTCTTTCACTTCTTTGGCTCAATTTACTCCTACGTATTTTGGGGGATGGGTAGCTCTTGTTAATAGAAATATTTTTTTGATTTCTTTTTTAGGTAGTTCACTATTGGTATATAGAAAATGTACTGATTTCTGTATGTTGGTTTTGTATTCTAGACCTTTACTCATTTGATTTATTTGTTCTGCTTTTTGGTGGAACCATCAGTGTTTTCTATACATACAATTAAGTCATATGTAAATAGGAACCATTTGAATTCCTTCTTTCTAATTCAGACACCTTTTATTTTTTTTCCCTTGCCTGATTGCTCTGGCTGGAATTTCTAGTCCTTGTTGAATTAAAAGTGGTGAACGTGGCATCCTTGTTTTGGATATTGGCTGTGGGTTTTTTGTATAATGCCTTTATTTTGTGGAGATGTGTTCCTTCTATACCTAATTAGGTGAGTATTATCATGAAAAGGTGTTGAATTTTATTCAATCCTTTTTTGGCATCTAGTAAAGTGATCATTTGTTTTTGTTTTTCATTCTGTTCATATAATGCATCACGTTTAGTGTTTTGCACATGTTGAACCATCCTTCCATCCCTGGGATAAATTCTACTTGATAGTGGTAAATGATCTTTTACAATATGATGTTGAGTTCTGTTCACTAGTATTTTGTAGATTTTTGCATCTATGTTCATTAGAGATATTCATCTGTAGTTTTTGGTGGTGGTGGGTGTATTCTTGTCTGATTTTGGTATGAGGGTTTTTCTTTCCTCATAAGTGAGTTTAAAGTATTTGCTCATCTTTAATATTTTTTAAGTTTGAGAAGAATTGATATTAGTTCTTTTTTAAATGTTTGGTAAAATTCAGCAGTGAATAATGAGGTTGGAGCAGTGATAAAAAGTTACCCATTATATTCTGCTTGTGTTTGATGGATAACTTTTTATCACTGCTTCAACCTCATTATTCATTATTGGTCTGTTCAAGTTTTCTGTTTCTTCATGATTAAACTGTAGTAGGTTTTATGTATCCCAAAATATATTCAGCCATGCCCCACCGAACCACTGCATGGGCCACATATGTGAGCAAACGCAAGCCCAAGCCATGCCCAGGGACTGACACAGCCATAGGCCCTGCCAACACCTGAGCACCAGAGTGGGGGCCCGCAGGTCCAGCTGAACAACTGTGAGGGCCATACAGATGAGCACACACAGGACTTGGGCACTGACTGAGCAGGAGCCAAGGCAGCACACTGCACACTAAACTGCACTGATAAAAGAAGAGTTACCAGCAAAACTTACAAACATAGGAGGAAGTCTTTCCCCTCATTAACATACTCCGGTGTGTTAGAAGAATTAAGTGTTCCACCAGATGATCAAACATCAGCATAAAAATACTAGAACTACAAATAAACAAGAAGATATGACACCACCAAAGGAAAGTGGTAGTTCTCAAGTACCAAACCTTGTAGAACAAGAAACCCTCAAGATGACTGGACAGGAATTCTGAGCACTGATTTTAAGGAAACTCCAAGATAGAAGAGAAGAATCAACTAGAGAACACAATGAAAGAAGAAAAAATATCCAGGATATGAAGGAGGAAGTTTGCAAAGAGACTAATAACTTAAGAAATAATATAAAAGAACTGCTAGAAATGAAGAATTCTGTCAGTGAAATAAAAAACAGAACAGAAAGCTTGAGCAGCAGGCTAGAGTAAGCAGAAGAAAGAATATCAGAAGTCAAAGATGGTCTTTATGAAGTAACCCAGGCAGACAAGAAAAAGGAAAAAGAACCAAAAATGTATTCAATACCTAGATTTCCTATTTTGCTGGTATACAGTTGTTCATGGTAGTCTCTTAGAATTCTTTTTTTTTTTTCCTTTTTGTCTTTTTTACTGACCGGTAACGGGATCGCAACCCGCGGTGTCACGCCCGTACCGGGGACTGGCAATGGGATCGCAACCCTCGGTGTTGCGTCCGCACCACGCTCAGCCAGTGAGCGGGTACTGGTCTCCACATGGGATCCGAACCCTCAGCGGGAGTGCCGCCGCGCTCCCAAGTGGCGCACTCTCCAGTGCGCCACCAGGCCGGCCCTCTTAGAATTCTTTATATTTCTGT